TATCCCCAAAAATTTCGTTGTAGTATAACTTTCTACTGATTTGCCATCCACATGTAAATAAAAGTCAGAATTTGGAGTTAAGTTTTTTGGTAAGAAACGCATAAAATGTGTTTTTGTTACGTTGAGCTTGAGTCCATTATTTTTACAATATGTGCTAAATTCAGCAGACACAACATTGGTATTTTCCACCAGTACTATGGGTTCATTGTGAGACATGAGAATATTGGTATCATCAGCATACTGAACAATTTTATCTGGCATTGAACAAAACGTGTTTAGGTCACTTACAAATATAATGAAAAATAAAGGCCCAAGTATTGAGCCTTGAGGTACACCCATCGACATTGAAGTGGCCTCGACGTTACATTTTCCACTGTGACTACTTGAGTTCTCTTACTTAGATAAGATAGGTCCCAATTATACCACGTACTCCAATACCCTGCAATTTTTGTAGTAAGAGATTCACGATCAACCAGATCAAATGCACGACTAAGGTCATAAAAAAGACCCAACACATTTAATTTATCATTTAATGCTTTATAAATAAATTGAAGACAGTCAGAAATAGCAGTATTTGTAGATTTCTTTTTTATAAACCCGTTTTGACTAACAGGAAGAATTTTAAATTTCTAATAAGTTAATCATTTGCATAGGCTGCTTCAAATATTTTAGAGAACTGACTTGACACACAAATCAGCCTGTAGTTTACAATATCCGTTGCAGATCCTTTATTTTTAAAAATAGGGATTCCTTTCGATTCCTTTATATCTGGAAATATTCCGCATGTAAATGATTAATTTATGAGATAAGATAGTAGTAAAGCTGTATAAGTGGCAACATGTTTCAAAGCTTTTCAATCAATTTCGTCGACCCCTGCAGCTGTTTTAGAAGCAGTTTTTAATACAATTTAATACTTCTTTTTCAGTGGTTGGTGATAAAAAGAAACTTGAATGAATTGGTCAATTTGTGTGCTACGGTTAACAACTGATAATTGATTCATTATTTTTTACAGCATTAATAAAATAATTGTTGATTTGATCAGCTTTATGATAATTTTGTCACTGTTGTTACTAAAAGATATTAAATTTTGATTTGATTGACAGTTTTTACATCTATTTTTATTAATTATTTTCCAATCTACATTATTGCTATTTATAAATTGATTATCATATTGTTTATTTTTTTTTGTTTTTTTTAACAATTGTTTGATATTCTTGTTTAAATTTCTTGTATCTTTCCGAATACTCTGGGTTATTGAGCCGTTTTGTTAATCCATTCATCTGACACAATTGATCATGCAAACCCTTACTATGGGGTGCAAACCACTTTTTCTGTTTTGGTCTGGTAGTTACTCTACGTTTTAAGAAAGTAGTATTATAATAATATTAGAAAGTATCATAAAATATTGAAAATTTTTCTTCAAAACTACTAGCCACATATAGATCACTCCAATCAATATGAGCTAAAATATTTTGAAAAGTTATTAAGTTTGCATCGCATAAGTTTCTGGTAAAAACAGTGAGGATTTTTTTCAGTAACTTTCATATCAAAAGCACATAATTGATAAGTATGATCTGATAGAATCTGATGGTTAACAATATGAGTTTAAAATTACGAAATTTTGACAAAAAATTTCTCGGAATTCACCTATTTAGTTATTGTTGTATAATTAGTGTTTTTTATCATGTATCATGATACCATTCCAAGTATAAATTAGTCATCTTTCCAAAAAGGCATTTCAAACGACCAAGATTGTCGTATTTGTCTATTGGGGAGTGGCGGATACGGTAATCTCCGAGTGCCACAAGTTATATTTGACGAACAAAGCAAATTGCTGCACAAACTGGGCATTTCAAAATTCTAACTAACTAGCAATATCTTGATCTGGGTAATATTTATGCAACGTTAATGCGACTTCCTTATCTGAGTGTGTACTTAAGTCCATTGCGACTAACATTTATATATCTTATATCAGTAGCGTACGTACAAATCTTTAAACTGGTTTATTGTGTGCATTAAAATATTTAAAGATATTGAAAATAAAGGAGCTACTGGAACAGAAAGTGATATTCCGGTTGAACTGATTATGAATTAAAAAAGAAAGGAATCAATCAATTTATACCTTCTTCTTCTTATGGTGCCCTATCCAATTAGTGAATGTTGGCGACAATTCTGGCATTCTCCTCTCGATCTTGCGAGGCTCTAAAGAGTGCTTGGGCATCGAGGTTTGTCCAATCCCTTATGTTTTTAAGTCATGAATATTTCTTTCTTCCGATGCCCCGTTTTTCTTGTATCTTCCCTTTCATAATAAGCTTTAAAAACTGGTACTGGAATTTCGAAATATATGACCCAGATAAGCAGTTTTTCTTTTTTTATTATTGGCAGCAATTCTCGTTCTCTGCCCATTCGATTTAATACTTCGACATTTGTTGTGTGATCTGTCCAGGGAATTTTAAGTAGTCTTCTAAATACCCACATTTCAAAGGCCTCCAATCGGTTCATCACATTGGCCTTTATGGTCCAGGTTTCTACACCATATAGCAGTATGGAGTAAATGTAACATTTTACAAAGCGATGTCGAAGCGTTAAGATAAGGCTGCTGTTGCTTAGCAAGATTCTCATATTAGTAAATGCTGTTCTGGCTTGCTCAATCCTGCTACGTATCTCTATGTCTGGATCTAAATCTTCAGTTATCCAACTACCGAGATATCTGAACTTTGGATGTTCTTATTGTTAACTCTTATATTTAATTGCATGTTTCGTGTTCTACTAACCACCATTACCTTCGTCTTGTCTATATTAATCTTCAAGCCCAGTCGTTCTCCTTTAGTGTTTATTCTATCTATCAGTTGTTGTAGTGCTTCTTGGCTATCAGCTATTATGACTGTATCATCAGCATAGCGAAGATTACTAATAGTCTGTCCGTTGATTTTGATTCCGTCTTCAGTGTCACTTAAGGCTCTATCGAAAATCGTTTCATAGTAAAGATTAAAAAGGAGGGGTGACAGAACACAACCCTGTCGTACTCCTTTTTCGATTGAGAAATATGATGTAGATTCCAGTCCTACTCGCACAGATGCCACTTGATTCATATAAAGGTTCTTTATGATTGTAAGGTCATTTTCATCTATCGAACGTTCCTGGAGCAATCTTAATAATTCTGAATGATTAACACAATCGAACGCTTTCTGGTAATCTATAAAGCATAAGAAGATTGCTGATCTCTGCATTTCTGAACTAGGACAGTTAAGCTATAAAGTGCTTCTCTTGTGCCGAATCCTTGTCTGAAACCGAACTGTGTGGGGCTAATGTCTTCTTCACATCTGTTGTATATTGTTGTGTGAATTATCTTTAAGAAGAGTTTTAAGGCCTGGCTCAATAAGCTGATCATTCGGAATTGGTCGCAACTATTAGCGTTTGGCTTTTTTGGTATTGGTATAAATTGGTGGCAATACCGCCATCTTTGTTTGTTGTCTCAATGTATTCATTACCCCTCCTCTTTCATTTGACACCTCTTACGTCACGATCCGACGAGCAGTCGCGCCTCCACAACGAAATGAGCCAAAAATGACCAGAATGGGCCTTTTCTGGGGAATTTTCTTATGGAGATTAACCTGAGAAACCGACTCTTTTAATATTTCTCCACAACCTAGTGCACAACGAAAAAAGATTTGATAAAATAAAAATATTTTCCTATAAGAAGCCATTTCTATCTTGAAACAGATAGGAATATGGGCCTAATTAACCAAAAAGTAGAATAGTCAAATGAATAGATGAAGATTTTTCGTCAATCCAGAGTGAAACCTTCTCCTTTTAATGTAATAGAGGTGGATTAGCTACTATCTAGGAAATGGTCAAACCACCTGAACAAAACTTACACCAACAAGTGCCCCTTTAGACCTCTCCAATAAGCAAATGTTGGTAAATCGCACCCTCGTTTTATTTATTACCGAAATTCATATAATGGTATTTTTAAGTCTGCAGTAATTGCAAACTGCCGTCCAATATCAAAGCCCTGTAACTTGCAAGACAATGAGTTTGAACTACCAAGCTATCTTTATGAAGGTATGAAAAAGTAATTAATTAATGTAGTAGTATTAGGAACTAAGTATTCTGTTTGTAGGTTTGATTTCTATTTCGAAGGCAAAGTTTGATGACGTTGTGCACCTGTCCAGTTTTTCCACAAAGAATCTTCTTCCTATGTCTTCCTCATTAATGCAGGTTGGCGACCACATTTCCAAAAGTATCTCCGTTTTTTGCAACATGAAATAATTCGTCTACAGTCATGTTTGTCCAGTTTCGAATATTTCGCTGCCATGACTTCCTCTTTCTACCTATTCCCTTTTTGCCATCGACTCTACCCCTGTATGATGACCTTCAAAAGACTTATCATTCCTCAGTATGTGTCCAAGGTATGCAGTCTTGCGTACTTTTATTGTTTTCAACAATTCTTTCTCTCGACCCATCCTTCTCAGCACTTTCTCATTGGTAAACCTGGCAGTCCATGGAATTCTCCACTTCTTCTCAGTCGTGGCAGTCCACAAAGAATGCGGGAGAATATTTCAAAGCACTACCACATGTCGAATGAGGACAAGTTGGATTATACGCAATTATTATTATACGGACTAAGCAAAACTATAATATCCTTTTATTTTTGTTGATTTTCTTAAATTAAATTCTTAAAAGTGTATTTCTTAGGTATTCTTACAATGTGGTGTTCTACCGTTATCCAAATTACATGAAAATTTTTAAACCACACTGTAAACATACCAAACGTATACTTTTTTAAAAAAATTACCATATATAATAATATATATCATTAATATTAGTCTTATAACTTTGAAAATGATATCCTGAAAAATTAAACCAAAAGTGACATTCCTGCTTTTCCCCCTGTACCCTTCAATTGATACCTTATGCTCTTGTTTTTCTTCCCTTTTTAACTACTTGGTCAAGTTCTTCATTCTCTTTTATTCTCAAGAGCTGTAGATATGTTGGTTTTATGAGTACTACGTTATCAATGGTTTTACAAGTTGTTTCCTTCAATTACTACAGTTTTCGTTTTCTCTATGAATATTTTCATGTTATACTTTTGTAATTGATTTCCAAAATTCGACGAATTACCAAATGAAATGAGATCGAATGCATCACGAAAACACCACAATAAATATGTAATTAAAACCTTTCGATGTGTGCCGTATTTGCTGCAGAATCCTTCCACGTCGCGCTAATGAACATTGCAGAGCACACTGAAAACGAACTAAGAGTCCTAAGTAATGTATGCGCTGCGCATGAACTTGGAGGTCAAATATTCCTTGAAGTCTTTGATGAGATGGCCAATTATTCAATAAATCCTAAACATGCGACCGAAAAACGGGCACTAAAACAGACTGCACCAGTGGGGGCTCGTCTAAACGCACTTCAAGCTTTTGTTATGGCATAAATCAATAACAATGCGATTATTTAGTTAATAAAATAAAATGAAAAGATGCTTCTAATGCCTAAAACGATTTTTAAAATATTTTATGAAAAAATACAATCAATCAATCAATAATGCCTTTTTATTTTTTAGCGACATTTGTTCTCCTTGGCACATGCCATCAGAAGGGTTGGCAAACAAATATTATGCTTTAATATACAAAAAATTACACTAAGGCTAATTCTATCTAACAAGGTCATTAAATTAAATAATAAACTAATAAATATTCATATAAATCTTATAGTAATGAACTAAATGTGTATATCCTATTGAGTAACACTTCCCAATAGACTCAACAATCATAACAATGTGTAGCAGTAAGGTATAGCTTGCATTTGAAATGATTAATTTTGTCCCTTAGAGGGAGTGAAACGTGTTTACATATAATAATAATAACAATAATAACAGGCTCACTAACTCATGCCTCCCTACAATAACCTGCTAACTCAGCCCGTCCCTGTCTCATCATAGTAACTACTTCCACTCTACTCTACAGTTCATTTCTGCCCAACCACTTCAACCTAATCTGTCTTATCAACGAATATTTTCCCAAAAATGTATCGCATCTTCCCTTTCCTTGTTGTTACACATTGAGCAAAACCTTTCTTTATCATTTCTGCCAGGTCGATGCCAGGACCCGGTTCTAGTTCTTACCAGAATCTTACTACTAAACGATACCTGTCCGTCGTTGAGAAAATAGCAGCAACTATTTTCTCACTTGAGCCGGCAGTTGCTGGAACCATCTATCGAACTTGGACGAGGCCTAGCCGTTAGCGAAAGCTATCAATAACAGAATTATAGTCCAATACACTAGTTCTGAAGTTGATTGCAATCGCAAAAACGGCTTGCAGGAACAATGGTTACTAGAGAACACGGTTTTATCCTCTGCTGACTCTGACTTGCACACTTTCAACACTTAAAACATATTCACACAAATCACACTCAAACTAATCCAACAGTGAAAGGAGTCCTCTTTCTGCTATCGAAGCATCCTCAGCACCGGAACCCCCGGCCGACTACAGCTCTCGTTACTTAACACGGGGTCTGTGGTCGGACGGGGAAAATCTAGGTGATTCGACGAAGCCAAGTAATATCGAAATTGTAGCGTCTATCACTGTTGGGTTAAACACAGACACACGCACACTCACACTGGACAAAATGCGACAAGTCGATTTTCGAAAGCTGAGGGTCTCCATTAGCGAGCACAAAACTACAGTGCAATACACTGGTTTTGGGGTCGAGTATAAGCTCGAAAATGACTCAGAAACAATAGTCACTAGAGACCCAACTCTGTTGCATCTAGCTCAAAAAGCACACACACTCTCTGGAAAGAACATCACATTCCAGGCAAGCCTTTTACACCTGATTCAAATAGTAACTCCATCTCAACAGCGTCCAAGATGTTCCACCAGAAAAAAACGCCAACACCCCAGTGGAATTCTGGACTGTTTGCTTATGCTTTTCTCGAATACATTCAATTCAAGCCTGAAGAGGATCGAGCGATCCTAAACGGGTACAATTATGTTTATTCCTTTCGAAATAAAGCAATCGTTACCCTATTCCTAAAATGAACATCGGATAACATTGTTCTTACCAGATAGTTTCGGTTCGAACTGTGTTCCCTGCTGGAATTTCTAATTCACGGCATTTTATATTATTGCCGGTGTTCCATCTCCAGCGCGCCTCGTTGGTAGTGGTGGATCGCAAAGTTTATCCAAAGTAGTACTAGTTGTAGTTATTTTGAAAACTAAACGAATGCACTTTTCTTCGAATTATCTATTTGATCTTAATCCTCAAACACCAATGTATATATATTGACAAATTTATTTTCACACAACTTTTGTTGTAAAAGTTTAATTAAAGTTTTTGTTTATGTTTTAGGTGAACATTGCGAAAAACAGGACCACTGTTCGTCGCAACCCTGTCGTAATGGCGCAGAATGCACTTCGGTCGGTGATTCCTACAAGTGCACATGTGCTCCCGGTTTTACGGGGGCTTCATGTCGCGAGGATAAGGACGAATGCAAGCACATGCCATGTCGACACGGAAAATGCCATAACACCCATGGAAGCTACACGTAAGTACATCAAAAATTTATATTGTTTACGAATACACTTTGGATATGAAATGATTTACTTACTCAATCAAAAAAAAAAGTTTATGTGAAATTTAGCATGGTTTTGTATATTGTTATTAATGTTTACCAAAAGTGCAACTTCGACAATTATGCAAGTTTTACCATCTTTTTAGAAAAATAGTGCATTTTTGGTGTTCATAAATTTTTTTGCTACCAAATTCTTTCCAACCATAAAAAGCACTTTACGCTTTCAATTATACACAAATATCATCATTCTTCTAAGAGTAGTAGAAAACCGTTCACACAAGCTCTACTAAATACAAAGTAAAATCGTTATTTACAAAGGTATTACACATATCTAGGTAATTTTGTAATAAACCGTTTATAAGAAAAGAAGAAGAATAGCCTGGAGGGACGATTAGTTGCACGCGAACGTGAGTAGAGGATATGAAACATACCATACATTGCAAAAAAGTGAATAAGACAAAAACTGTATAAACTAAAAGGATTTTTGATTAATTTTAAAATCATGTACGCAAAAATGCTTCAAGTAAGGTAATACATATTTTGTGTGTGTCTATAAAAAATTCATATCAGTAATACTGAGTTACAGAAGCTTGCAAATCCAAGAAATGTATAACATTAGATCATCATAACTATCATTAAATATGGCTACTGTAATTAAATACCAAGCAAGGCTTTATTTGACACATGTCAATAACACTAACAAATCCTACCCGCAATCGGATGGGTGAGTGAAGGTGAGTTCCAGAGCCTTATATCAGGAACCCTTTGGCTAAGGTACGGTAAACCTAACAGAAGAGTCCCTGGTAGTCCAAGTTTAAAAGTTGGGCATAGCACTAACAACCCCAACCTGGAAAAAAATCATTGTTTCGAGAGCTGCAATATTGTACTGAAGCTATTTTCTTGTGGCATATTAATACAATTACTATTTTTATTGGGAATAAGCCACAACTAACGTTTATTTTTGACGTTTCGATTTCTACAGAGCTACAAAAATTTAAAACTGGACGGAGCTTTTGTAGATGATCTACCAAACGGAAAAAAGGTATTCTATCAAACTTTATAAGCGTGATACTTTGTTGTGTATGTCTGTAAAGACAGTTCAAGTATTCCTGACCATGGAGCTGAGCGAAGGCGGAGTCAACTTCACGTAAATGCAGAAAGGTTTTATTGTAAGTGGAACTATACAGTGCATAGTACAATGCGTTTCGCATGGAAGTGGGGACTAAACTGAATTTCGTCTACTGCGCCGTGGTCAGGAGTGCTTGCACGCACTATAGTTAAGTTAGCAGCAGCAGATACTGTGCTTGAGTCATGTCTAAAAACATATTGCCTGTTAAACCAGTAGCTGCATGAATCAAAGAATTGTACAATTTTATTTATTACACATGATTGTAAGATCTTTGACATGGCTATTAAAAGAGTTTTTATATATTTCTATTAGCAACTTCCAGGTTGCTTGGAGTCCCCTCCTTTATACAATTGAACTACTATCGCCATTTTCCCGTTTAAAATCGAAATAGTTGACAAATTAAACAAGCTCGACTAACTTATACTTAAGTTTTCACTTTCACTTTTGAGAACAAAATGATTTGAAAAGGACAATTATATTCGTATCCCACGCAATAAACTTTTGAAACACCCTTTTATTACGTGATTATGATCGGTTACCTGCTACAACAATACCGAGAATATTGGGTAGTATCTATAGGTACTATCGGTAATATTGAAAACTGAAATATTGAAATAACGTAATCATTGGAATTTCCAGTTCTACGGTTAGAGAAATATTTAAAATCGTTTTTTAAAACAATTTTTTCGTATAAATATGCAAAATCCCCAGATATTTGCATAAAATTTATTTGTCTAAGTCTAGTTATAATCGTTAGGAGCTCCTATGCAAACTCTCTAATAATATCCACACTAAAGCCATCGCACTCTGGAGATTTTCTTTTTTTAGTTTTTTTATGATCTCTCTAATATGGTTTTCTTAGACTTGTTGCCATTTGAATATGTATTTTCCTGGCTCCATATTTACTGTAGGTTTGATGGAGTTGATAGATATGTATTTGTTAGAGATTTTTCTACATGTGCAAAGTATTGATTGAATTGATTAGATATCCCCTAAGCTCTATTGAATATAGAATTATGATGTCAATAACTCAAAAACACAAGTGATGACAAACCTTGTTCTGAGTGAGAACATCAACATAGCTGGAACAAGTATAGAACAAACATCAGCATACAAATATCTGGGACACGAAATTCGCTTAAGTAGAGATAACCTGACCAATGAACTAATACGTAGAATAGGGTTGACATGGGCAGCTTATGGAAAGCTAAGAGATGTTTTCCAATCAGCTCTTCCCATCTGCTTGAAGAGAAAAGTCTTCGATCAATGTGTGCTGCCGGTTCTAACCTATGGTGCGGAGACGCTAACACTTACTAAGACGTCCGCAAACAAAATTCGAACAACACAGAGGGCAATGGAACGGTCCATGTTGGGATTAACTCTGAGCGACCGAATACCCAACACAGAATTGCGGCGTAGATCGGGAGTAACCGACGCAATCAAAAGAATATCAACCTTAAAATGGAACTGGGCAGGACACGTCGCGAGAACGAAGGACGGCAGATGGACAAAACGCATTCTTGAGTGGAGACCCAGACAAAATGCCTTTAGGAATAGAGGACGACAACCAACAAGATGGACGGATGACCTGAAACTGACACATCAAAATTGGATGCAGGCGGCTCAGGACAGAAATTTGTGGGATGAACTACGGGAGGCCTATGTTCAGCAGTGGACGAGTATGGGCTGGATGATGATGATGATGATGATGATAGGCCTCTTCTAGTTCTCCATTCATCTCTGTTGTTTGTAAGACGTTTCCACATTGGTCCTGCAGTTCTTTTAATATCGTCGCTCCAGCACATTTGCGGTTTACCTCGTGGTCATTTGGCTTCATATGGCCACCAATTCCCGATTTCTTTATTTCATTCATCGGCCATTCTTACGACGTTCTTTATGTCCAGCCCATTAACCCAATAATATTTTTAGATATGTGATGGCTTCTTTTATGTGACTTATTTCGGGCATCACTTCTGAGTTGACATTTGTTATCTGCCTTTTCAGTTTCTGCTTTAAGCAGTTAGGGGAATCGTTTCTGGAACGATACAGATCGGCGTAGACCTTTTTAATTGAGTTTGCTATATCAGATTTACTTTTTTCTAGTTGTCCTTGTTCATTTTTAATGATCATTATGTTTTCTTTGTTAGGTTCGGTTTGATGCATTTGAGACGGTTTTTCTCTAATTGAGTTGTGGATACTATGATTTAACCATATTTTTTGCTGTTATTTTGTGTCTCGGGTAATTTATTTGAAAAATAATATTTTTTGCTTCAGCCACTGTATCAATTAACTCTTTTTATGCCTTTTGTAGTGGAATTTTAGACTTGAAACAACGACCGTTTTGTCGAAATGTTTTTTATTGTTTTTGTACTAAGGTTATTTAAGCAAATTCTTCTGATTTCGTCACACAAGGAATTGGGTTCACACCAGATTTAATTTCTAAGACTAATTGGACTTTTAAACTTTTTTATTAAAGATATTGAAGTTATTATATCGAATCTAATAGGATATTAAGTATATAATTTAAAACAAATGTACCTTTATCTCTTAAAAAATAAAATATTTTTTAAATGGGCCTTAATTTCATATATAATTAATAATGACGTATTACAACAAACTATACATTTAAATTGACATTCATCACGTTTATTTTTTAATTAGTGGTCAGTAAACTTTACTTATTAGATTAATAATTAGGGGTAGAAAGTAATAGTAGAGACCAGTAAATAATGTACACCTAGACTTAAGATGTCTCTATCCTTTGGACCTATTGCTAGGTGGTCAAACACTCACACTAGTCATGCAAAAAAGCAGGCCACCGGTAAGAAGTCGGACTAAAAAAATTCCAAGGCACATACTGCCATATATATTTAATTGTTAGTACCAAACCTTAATCTAATGGTAATCCCCGACCAAATACGAATTACTTGCCTATCTCAATTGTAATTTGATCGATTTCTTTGAAAACGATCGGCTGCCATTCTGCTGTACTTTATATGTAACCGCATTTTAAACAAAAGCAATTGATGTTACGACACCACGTTGCGGACTAAAAAGGCGTTATGACATTCTTTCTATATGGTTTCTTGTTCTGATTGTCTCTAGATGCATGTGGCGTTGAATATTCGCTTTTAAGGTTGAAGAGAGAAACTGAAAAAGTGAAAAAGACATTATATTACAAGGATACTAGCAGACTGTCTTTATATAAATATGTGAAAGGTTATTGAATTATAGTAAGGTTTATTAACAAACTAGTCAACTTGGTTCTACAGAAAAGTTCGAAATGGTTGGCAGTGATGTCATTTGTAACCCTAGTACACTAAATTATACACAAAAATCTAAAAATAACATTCTTTCCCGCAACCTTTCGGAGATGTTTTATGATAATTGGAGTTTTAACAAACAAAGCTTATAACAGAGATCGAAAAATAGCAGAAATTGCATAACATCCTTCTCCTGATTTAAGACTTTCATTGACCTCTCATCTTATCCATAATTGATCTTCTCCAAGTTTGTGTGGGCGTCCTCTTTTTCTTTTCCTTTGCGAATTCACTCTCTAGGGTAGTCTTTGCAGTACAGCAGCTAATATATTAAGGCTATACACTTATATATGTAAGTATGTGGCCGATCCAACCCCACTTTCTGGACTTTTTTAGAAGCATACCACTGAATCACAATCTTCTTCCTCTTTATAACAATTTTGCTTGTTCATTGGCGGTTTAATACCTCTATGGAAGGTTGTCACTCGGTTGTATATTGTATTTCTTTCGAAAAGCGTTCCTAATGATAATTTTTTATTTTTCTTACATGCGTTTCGTTTTTAATTGTCTTGTAATTATGTGATTATG